CGGTATTCTTATCACCTTTCCTCCTCCCTCTCATCTCGCCCGCTCCTCGTTTCACGCCCTTTCCTCCTAACGCGTCTTCATTCTTTCTTTACCTTGTTCTCTCTTGCCGCATCTCTTCTCTCTCTCGGTTCTCTGATCCTTCCTTGTTATTTCGGTTCTTGCAACAAGATGTCAAGATCTGCTTTCCACTTTTTGTTGTTTTCTACTTTGTAAAGAAAAAAGAGAAGTGAAGCCCCTAACATTGTTGTACGGCGGCTGCAAACGGGATTCGATCTCCTGATCGGCTCGCTAACAGTCACATGTGTGTACCATTCAGCTACACGGGCTGGATTCTTTCCCTTTTTATTTTCCCTTTTTATTTTTGGTTTTCAAAAGAAAGAAGGGAAGGCCCTAACCTTATTGTGTTGCTGCTGGAAACGTGATACCAACGCACGATCGGCGCACTAAAAGTCACATATGTGTAGCGTTCAGCTGCATGGGCTGGGTCTTTCTCTTTCTTAATTCCCCCACTCCTACTTCCTGATCGGCTTTCTGTTGCCTCCTGCTGCATCTCTCTCCTCCTTTCCACCAATCACCGCCTTTGTCGCTGTCCTGCTCTCATCGATTTCATATCTTAGGCCTGTCTCATTCCCGGGCGGAGTCGTGAGATTCTCGTATTTTCAACTCCCTCTCCCCTGTTTATCACCCCTTCTCCTCCTCGATATCAGCAGCCCTTCACTGACCTTCTTTCTTACGAGGTTGATGATTCCCCAGAGGTCCTTTTCCCGCCGCCGCCCCCACCCTCGCCTCCCCTTCCCTGCGGCTCAGGCGCGGCTTCGACAGACTATTTTGCGTGACCGTGTTGTGGTCAGCCTTAAGAGGTTTATCAGAAATATGGAAGAAGATGGGTTTAATGCTCGTTTATGGAAGTCGCTCGGAATGGTGAGAGTTTGTCTCGCGGCGGGCGGGGAGGAGGGCGCGGGGGGAAGGGAGCGACCGGGGGACGGGGGGGGGGGGAGGGGGGCGCGCCGCATGGGAATTCATGATAATCATGTATTCGTTTGCCTACGTGGTCACGCAATATTCTTGATCTCCTCCTGTGGGTCATTTTTCGAACGGGAATCCAGCGCCTGATCAGGGGGAGGTGCTTGTGTAGAGCTACTTCGGCTGGGCTCCCATCTCTTCTCCCGACAGAACGCGACCTCGTTGGGACTGTATCGTATCGCAAAGATAGCTTCTCAGCTTCTGTACGTTCGTGATCCAGGTGGTGCGTTGTGAGCTTCTCAGCTTCTGTACGTTCGTGATCCAGGTGGTGCGTTGTGCCCAGGCGAAGGCATCAGTGGGAAACGCTTCGAGGGTCGAAGCATTAGATGGCTATTCGTTGTTCATGGAACGCGCGTGAGTGGGCGAGAGAGACTTGAGTGGTGCGCCCAGGGTGCACCATCAAACGTTTTGATACTGTGTACTATGTGGAATGTTCACAGAGGTAGCATCTGCGCGCGTACGGAAAGACGTGTATAGAAATATATGAATAGGCATATACACACGTGTATACTCGAATTTCAATGCATCCAATTGTATAGGAATATTGTCAATGTTTAAGTTTGGTCTGAAGACAAATGTATAGAATGTACATGGATAAGCAGCCGGACTGGAGCCCCCCAGAATAGATGGGGCAGTGTGTGTGTGTGTGTGTGTGTGTGTGTGTGAAAAAAAAGAAAAAGAAAAAAAGAAAATGTATGTGAACGTCATAGGAAGTCTATTTGAAACACACATGTATAGAATCGTCTTGTATATTATTTTCAGGTAGAACGCGAGGTGCGCGCGCGTGCTCGTGTGTGTGTGTGTGAGAGAGAGAGAGAGAGAGAGAGAGAGAGAGAGAGAGAGAGAGAGAGAGAGAGAGAAGGCGGGGGCGGAGGGGTTTGGGGTGGTGGTAAGGGACACAGAGCCTTGGGGAAGACGAGTGAGGGTACGTGTTTGGTCGAAAGGCAGATGGCAGTCCTGTCCGAGGCGGCGAGGCGGTGTTGGTGTCGCACGATATTCAACGGACGGAGATAGGGGCGGGGAAAATTGGTAGATGTGCAGTCGTAAGGCATGCTGTGCGGTGTCCGGAAGCGGGTTTATTCCCGCTTGGTTTTCTCCCTTAACTCTACTGTTTGCCTTGTGATCTGTCCTTGTCTTTTCTTCGTTTTATTCTCCTTTCGTCGCTCTGCGCTCTCAATCTCCTTTCTTTCTCTCCGTCTTTTCAGGCCTTCATCTTCTCGTCTCCGTACCTATTTGTTTTTTTTGCTGTCTGTCTGTCTCTCTCTCTGTTTTGCCTTCCTCTTTTCTCTCATAGCTGCCTTTCAATTTTCTCTTGCTTGAGCCCTTCAGGCCCAGGCCCGTGTCTCCCTCTGCAATTCTCCTCGTCTACTCTCCTTCCCTACCGCTCTCCGCCTGTTCTCTTTCAACTTATGTGAGTCACACCGGCTAGCAGGAGTGCCTGATGCCAGAGGCTGACACGTAGTCCTACCTTATATCGGTATGCTGAGCAGCGGGCGTAGTGATCGCTGAGTTGCCCTTGGCGATGGATGATACCAATGGATCGTAATAACACCATGTGTCAATCAACTGTGGCCGTGTGTCTAAAATAATGCTACCCTCCCATTGAAAGTCTTGCTGTCAATTGTTGGGTACGCGGAGTAGAAGAGGGAAATGTGCTGCGAGGGTGGTGGCCCATAAGGTCGATTTTTTTGGCCATTCAATTAGAGAGCAGTAAGACCCGACGAGCGAAGGGCAAAATGCAAAATGCGTGTGTGGAGGCAATTCTGCGGTGATATTGGGTGAAGGGAATGTGGGACGTCTACTTTATAGTCCCATGAACACAAGTCCCCCTTGTTGTCATGGCTCTAATTGGCCAGGATAGAGCCTGTATAGAGATTCATGATGAGAGGGAGTTACGTTGGGGGGAGTACGGGCTACGGGCGAGGTCCAACTAGCAAAAAGGACTGGATAAAGTGGCTGAATTTGGATGTGTTTTATGCAGAGATGCAGAAAAGCAGATTGATAGCTATTCTCGGCACCTCACCACAAACACATTCACATTCAGGCGTTAAATCCAATTCTCTTTGGTAATGAGACGTCGCTGTAAGGTAGCCAGTATTTGTGAGATCCAAACAACGGATCAACCACCCAAGAGACGGACGGGCAGAGTGCTAGGTGCAAAAACAGACAAAAGACGTATTGACAGACAGACAGAAGACGGATTGACAGACAAAAGACGAACAAACGGATTGATAGCGATGTAGGTGGATGAAGTTGGACAGCAACAGACTGACATGCATAGACAAGCAGGCATACAGACAGACACGGACAAGTACAGACACATAGATTAATAGATTAATAGATAAATAGATAGATAAATTGATAGATAGATAAATTGATAGATAGATAAATCGATATAAAGATGAGATGAATTCAGAGCTTAACATTTGGTATCATTGGTAAGCATGTCTGGTTATAACATAGGAAGATGTGAGGGGTACTCCATTCTTGTCCTTTCCCAGACCGGATGAGGAGGAATTAGATGGGCGAAAAGGCTTTAGGGCTGGCTCCACCACTCACCACATGCACAAAAGCCAAAAATTATGGCAGTGTGTCTTCCCATGTTCTAGCGGAAAGATTCGTTCTCATTTGGCACGTTCGGTGAGTGGTGGAGTGAGAGACCCTTAAGAGGGTGGGGAATTGTGAATGCAAGGGAGGAATGCTTCGTGTCATTCATTTCACCGGAACACGTGGGCATTTTGGTGTATCTACCGCGAGAACCGTCCTCTGTAAGGTCGTAATTCCTTTTCGTCCTACGTGACAGGTAGGTGGTAGTTTGATCTGAATCCCCGCACATGCTTTCTCTTATAGTCTGTGTACTACCTTAGGCATCGTGAATGTACTGGAGGCAGATTTCTGGTGAGATGCAGTCTTAAACCAGCACTACCTTTCCCAGGCTCATTGTTGAAACACCAAAATGTACTTGGGAGGCTGGGTGCTACTGGACCAAAATGGCTGGTGGTGCCAGCCAAAAGGGAAAAAAAGCAGGGCCGGCACTTCTGCAAAGCTTGCTTGGTGTGCAGTTCTTTTCCGCCTCGGCAAAAGTAGGCTCGGAGGTAGTGTTGGTTTAATGCCCATTTGTCTTATCTGAGGGGGAGACAGCCAGGGTGAAAAGCAAATCCCCATGCACGTCTTGTTCGGGGCCCAGGGGTGAAAAGCAAATGCCCATGGGTCTTTTTTTGGGGGGGGAGGATGAGGAAAAGCCGCCAATTCATCTTATCTGAGGGGGAGACAGCCAGCGTGAAAAACAAATCCCCATGCACATCTTGTTCGGGGCCCAGGGGTGAAAAGCAAATGCCTATGGGTCTTTTTTTTTTTTTTAGGGCGGGGGAGGAAGAAAAGCCAATAGATCCAGGACGTCATGCAGGTTGTGTGGTGTGATTGTGACCCCACTGCACTGCAATGTTAGGCTCTGGCCATAGATATGAGAATGTATCGTTGAATTTTGTGTTGGGCTTATGGTAGAAACACAGCAGAAGTGGCTTACGTGGTTAGATAATATGTATCATTATGTCACCGGTTCGTTGTGGGAGATCGGGTTGGCGATTGGCAGGCAGTACATGATCATTTGTGTCAAAAGGCTTTCGGTGTTGAGAGCAGGAAGGTGTCCTGCCCTTGCTGCATCTTTGAGTCTTGCTGCTGTGTTGTCCTTACTGACATACAGAAAAGGGTTTCATCTTTAAGAGATTGGGCAATCCTTTCTCAGAGAAGACGTCCCTTTCTGAGGGTGCGTGACGGCGCCCGCCGTGATGACGATTGTAACGTTCAATATGGTTTAGTACTGTACGAGAAAAGCAGGGAGACGGTAATCAGTATTCTAATCGCTTTCTTTTCTCTCTTTTTTTTAATCATAACCAACACGAGTCATTTAATCACATTAGGCTGTTGTGTGCTTTATTGCGCCTTTCTTATTTAAAAAAAAAACTTTGTTCCTGCAGGTGTCTTTGGGCGTTCCTCAAGAGAGTGTTAAACTGCTTCTGAGGTCAGCGTCGCACACAGTGCGGTGCTGTTGAAGGCTTGCGAAATGCCACCTGCATCCACGACAGGACGAATGACAGACGTCTTCACAAAAAATGCCCCCGGCGATAGGGACATCGAACAGGTAATTCCTTACCTCGGCACACTCATCATTGGGCCTTTTAGTTTTCTCGTTGGAAAAGGGAGAGAAATGTGGAGAGAAGAGATCGGTGGTTTGCCAGGGGGAGGAAAGGAAATCAATGAATCAATGAGGCAATCAATCAACAGTCAACGAAACCATGTCAATCAACCAAATTATAATCAAATAAATTATTTTACTTAGTATTTGTGGAGCATTGTGGACTCGGTACGGAATTAAATCAATGACCAGCAATGAAGGAAGACCAGCCCTTCATATTGGGCGGTTAAGTACATCTGCATTTGAGCAATCAATTGCTCTAGCTATTCCATGACAGCCAATCAATTGTTTAAAGCATCCATTCATCAACCCAAGCAGCAACCAGCCAGTTGGCCAGGGCTCATGATAGACTTACGAACCTTGGGCTGGGCAATCATCAATCAGTGAATAGGCTGAGTTCGTTGATAGATGACCGTGGCCGGACCTTGATTGATGAACATACGCATGCTCCTGTGCAGTGTAGGTGTTGTTCATTCATCCGATGGGGAGATGTTGCTTCTGTGGAACAACCAGTGAGTGAGTCGTTTGATGAACCAGTTAGCAAATACACTAGATGAAGCGCGCAGATGCCTAGCTATTGCTTTTCTGCCAGGCTTTTGCTTTTCTGCCAGGCTTGTGTCCGTGAATTGAGAATTTGCCTCTTAATAGAAGCCTTGGTACCCCATCCTGTAAGCAGGGCGCGTTTGCTTGAGGTCGGAGCATCAGACCCTTGTACGTCTACCATAGTCCACCTTGTTTGTCTGTCATGGGGCCTTCTGCATCGTCCAGCATGCTCCTTGGTTCTCTGTGAACCTAATTTTACTCAATGTGGCAACGCCTGCGACCGAACTTCACCCTTTGTTAGCGCAAGGGCTATTCTCTTGATGAAGAGCTCGATGAAGAGCTCAATCTGGTGGGACTGAGAGGGGAGGAGGCCGGCTTAGTGAGGGCTACTTTCTCCATGAAGGGAAAGGTATGATTAGACAGGATTGTTCTGTTGAGGAGATGGTACTATAGGCTTAGTGAGGGCTACTTTCTCCATGAAGGGAAGGTGTGATTAGACAGGACTATTTTGTCGAGGAGATGGTACTATAGGTTCCTGAATAAATCATGAATGTCGTGATTTATGGTCATAGGACAGGAGTATATCCAATACGTTCCTGGATGAATAATGTCGAAGGCGGGCTTATGAGTCGGGTGTGATTGAATGTTCACAATATATTTTATAATTGTTTTTGAAAATTAGAATGCTCTCCATGCCTCTTTCGTGCAATAGCCGTTTGCACGGAAGACTTGTTAAGTGGAGGAAACCTTGTCGGTACAGGCAAAGCAAACAAATGCCTGGGCTTGGCGGTTTTGGGGTCCTTTTCAAATGCTGCCATTTGTGTTGGCGAGACTGTGGCTGATGAGGCTGTCTCTTTCTGATATACAGACATCCCCTGTAAGAAAAAGGCCTTAAGAACACGGTAGAAGTCAGCTCCTTCGGGACATCTGTTAAAATTAGAACGGTACAGAGAATATTAGCATGGCCCCTGCACAAGCATGACACACACAAACCTAGTCATCGTCCAAAAAATGCCGAAAGAATTAGGCAGCTCCAGATCGTAAGTGCGGATGTTTCATGGCAATCAGAACGTTTCCTGGCAATCTCTTAGTTCCAGAGTCTAGAGGCAATGTTTGGGACATGACATAGTAGTATGTGCTTGCTGCTTCACTAGGCTCATCGAGTGCTCACTCTGCCGTCCCCTTTCTACATGCATAATTTCGCGTGTCGTCGGTGCTATATACTCAAGGGGTGTGTTATGTGTATAACTTTATAGTAAGAACAAGTGGACGTGGCTGCGGCAGAGAAGCCAGAGAGGGAGAAGAAGGAAAGGGCACGAAGGATGGAAAGAGAGGGAGGAGAAAAGAGGCATTGACATGTGGGAACAGTTACACGCATACACAAATAAGCAAAATAAAAAGAACTCCCCGTTCCTCCTCCCCTCCTTCTCCCTCTCCTCTTCCCGTGCCATAGCCCCGCTCCCGTTCCTTCCCGGCTCCTTCTCCCACTCCCCCTCCCGCTCTTTCTCCCGCTCCTCACAACACTCCTCCTCCTCCCGCTCCTCCTCCGCCAAACAACGTGACAAAGATCCTGCCATAGCCCCGCTCCCGCTCCTTCTCCCGCTCCTCCCCTCCTGCTGCTCCTCCCGCTCCTCCTGCTGCTTCTCCTGCTCTTTCCCCCGTTCTCCTCCCGCTCCTTCTGCTCCTCCTCCTCCCACTTCTTCTGCTCCTCCTCCCGCTCCTTCTGCTCCTCCTCCCGCTCCTTCTCCCGCTCCTCGTCGCGCTCCTCCGACTTCCACTCCTCCACCTATACCTCCTCCCTCTCCTCCACCTCCCACACGTTCGTTAACCCCCTCCCCGTTTCCCCTCCCACTCCTCCCACTCCTCCCACTCCTCCCACTCCTCCCGCTCCTTCTACCGCTCCTCCTCCCGTGCCTCCTCCGTCCCTTCCCATTTCCCCTCGTGCTCCTTCTCCCGCTCCTAACCCCCTCCCCGTCGTTTCCCCTGTCACTCTTCCTCCTGCTCCTCCTCCCGCTCCTCCTCCCGTGCCTGCTCGGCCCCCTCCCGCTCCTTCTCCCACTCCTCCTCCCCCCCCCCTCCTCCCACTCCTCCTTTTCCCACTCCTTTTCCCACCGCTCCTCTCGCTCTTTCCGCTCGACCTCCCGCTCCTCCTCAGGCAAACAATGTGACAAAGATCCCGCCATAACCATCTCCTATGAAAAAAAAAGGCCCGCCACGTGGCTAGCTCTCTGTGTGTGTGTGTGTGTGTGTGTGTGTGTGTGTGTGTGAGAGAGAGAGAGAGAGAGAGAGTTTTCCATCGATAGGATGAGCAACACTCCGGCCAAAAGGTAAGTCTCCAACCCTGCAGCTGGCCTCATGCTACTTCCATCGATAGGATGAGCAAAATTGAATGAATCTCCCGCTAGAACATGGAAATATACACTATGTCACTTGTGTGTGTGTGTGTGTGTGTGTGTGCTCTGTCTCTCTCTCTCTCTCTCACACACACACACAC